CCCGCCCCCCCCGCCCACACCCCAGCCACAACCCCGCCGAGCTGCAAGGTAAGAGCGCAGGGGGCGGCCGGTGGCCAGGGGCGCTGCAGGCCACAGAGCGGGCGTGCAGCATGGGTGCAACGTGCCCTAGTGAGCTCACGCGAGCCGTGCAAGAGGCCCTGTCCACGTGTGAGCCTGGCAACACGACCTGCTAGTGCTTGCACGCACACCCAGACTCCCGCGCCTGGGCACGCACTTCATCTACACACGCCTATGGAGGTCCTGCTATATACACCGCTTTTCTCCCGCCGTTGTGGACACACATTTCATGGCCTTTTGGGGAGGGGGATATTTGTAAATCTATCCTGGCGCTCAGTGTGCAATTCGGTAGGTAAGTAGAGTGATGTGTGTGTCACATTTTAGTTCTCTGGCGGGTTCCAGACTCCATCTAGCAGTGCAGGCCTCAAACAGGGCATCCCCCTCCCCCCCGGATTCCTCCAATTTGGGGGTTATTTCTTTGTCGCCTTCTCGCAGCCCCTGTAACAAACATTGGGAATCAAAGTCCCAGAGGGGTCGCTGGGCGAGCCTGTCACTTTCCAAACAACCAGTAGTCCTGTGGCTACCCAAACCAGATACACGTCTGAGGAAGTGGGGCTTTCGCCCACGAACGCGCATGATGCTGTCTTTGTGATCGGTAGGAGGCCACAGGACGGCTTGTTGTCTTTAAGCGGTAGGCATGGCTAGTGTGCTGCACTGAGGCTCGCTTGCGGGCGAAGCAGATCGATCAAGCTGACTGGTTGTGTAGACAGAAGCACCCGCACGTGAGCAGCGAAGTGGCTTTTGCAAACCGGGAACTCTGCAGTGGCTTCGACTGGGGGGCAGACCGGCTAGGAACCGGATGTTCCGATAGATGGCCCAGACCCCGAAGTAAAATAATGTAGAGTCCTGGGTCCCGCCTTAGGTTAGATTCTGCCCGGCCAGGAAGAAGGTTTCCTCTTGCAAGGGTGAAATGAATCTACGCACCCTGCAAGCAGATGCAGGCCCTTGTGCTGGGGAGACCGGCGGCTTTTTGGTTTGTTTTTTGCAGGGAGGGAAATACCCCAAGGGAGGGGAATGCGGTTTGGAGGAGCCAGGGGATGTTGTGGCCGGGAGTAAGGCCTGAGCCAGCCTGGGAGAGGGTCTGTTTAAAGCAAACACGCGGGTGGCAAGGCGAGTGTTGAGGGCAGCGGCCGACAAGGTCACAAACCATGAGGTTATCTCAGGCCCCGCGGCGGGGACAACCCCAAGATGCATTGAATTTGCAGCACTTTCCCCTGGCAGGGAGCTGCTGGCTCCCTGGCAGTCTGGGGGGAGGGTTACCCCGAATTCCAGAGGCCAGGATTTCACCGGGCGTGAGGCAGAAAGCAGTTCCGCCGGGGTCTGTTTTTCCAGGCGTGTTTTTCCGCTCGGAGGTTGGTGCTTTCGCGTCCCGTGAACAACTTTGTGCGGTTAAGGAGGGAGGGAGGCGGGCGGCGGGCCCCGAAGAGGGGGGAATGTTCTGAAATAAGCTCACCGGATCCGAATTAACCCGTTCCACCAGGCATTAGGAAACACAGGACCCAAACCGAATCCAGACTTCTGGATCCACTCCGCGAGTGGCAGTTTTGTTCGGCTGAGGTCCCGGGGTCTGTGTTTCTGTAGGCAGGCGAGGAGTTCATTTTGGATTTGGGTGACTGCCTTCATCCCATCCATGCTGCGCTGCCGTTTCAGGGCAAGCATTACGGAACAGCAAAGCCAGAAGGTTTTAACACTACACCCCAGCGTTGCTGTTTGGATAGGCCTAAAAGCCAGGGTTTTCCTGTGGCCTGACTTCGGTTTCAACACAATTTAGCTGCCGAGGCCTTTTAAAAAATCCCTTCCGAAGTATTCTTCGGAGGAAAAAAAAACACCTCGATGTCTCTTTCCTTCTTATTTCTCTCACCTTTTCCATCGAGCGTTAATTGGGGGAACTACATTTTTACACATAGTTTGAGCCCGTCTGGACTTTGAAACGCGGGCCTGCGGAGAAACCTACCGTCCTGTAGGCAAGATGCGAATTTCTCTCGGACGCCAGAAAATAAGGGCGAGCAGGAATAGCGGCCATGAAATAGCATATCTTCCCCACTCTCCTTGCATGGCAGGTGGAGCTTTCAGCGCCCTGTCCATGTAAAAACACGATTAACCCGCCGTGGCTTTGCCAGGGGAGTAATCCGGATTAATAATTGAACATCAACTGCGAAATATAATGAGGTGAGGCAAAATTCCATGGGACTAGTCCGGATTAAACAGTCCGAACGAACGGCAAAGTGTCCCTGATTCGAAAGGGAGAGGCACAGCGAGGGGGGTTAAAAGACACTGTTTGGAAAGACCAAGCCTGTCAAAAGGGCACTAGGCTTTGGGCGTTGTTCACAAGGATCTGTTAGGGAGAAGGACTCGGTTCCCAGCTGATTGATTTTTGTACAGAAGGGGCTGGCGAAGGTTGTTATCCTGGTTTACATTTCCCTGGTTTGCTGTATTGTAGCGCTGCTTCGCCTTTGGTTTGAGCTTCATTTCCATGGGAGTGCGGCTGGAAAACCCAAGCCTTCTTGAGCTTTAGTTCTTGTTCTTTTCGGTGTCAGCGCTGCGCCGTGGCAGGAGCAGGGGTTAAGGGTCAGCAGCCCGATAGGTCCCATTGGAAATTAAGGGGCCTTGCCCCTCCCCGCCCATTGCCTTCCACGGAAGGAGCATCGGGCCCGCAATCTGTACATCAAGGATGCAGCAAGTAAACACACATCTTAGAAATGCTGCTGCTTCCTTAGCTAGCCAGGAAATCTACCGCCCCATCCTGCCATTCGCAGGCGGGCAAAGCTCCCATTAAAGTCAATGGGAATTTCCTCTGAGTAAGGACTGCAGCCCTCCCAGCCTTGACAGCACCTGCTTGTGCGCAACAGAACTCCCCTTGGGATGAGAACGCAGCCGTGTTCCGCTTCCAAACCTCCTCCCAAGTGCTCCCCACCCAGCACCCCTCCTTCCCCAGTTTCTTCCTCGAAGCATCTCTATAGGGTCCCCCCTCTAGCCACTGCCTGAAGGTCCATTTTAACGGTGACCCCTGCTTTCTTTCAGGCATCCCGCGGTACCACTCCCAGTCTCCGAGTATGTGCGACAGGAAAGAATTTGTCTTCTCTTTCAACGCCATGGCCTCCTCCTCGATGCACTCAGCAGGGAGCGGTTCTTACTATCACCAGCAAGTGACATATCAAGACATCAAGCCGTGTGTTATGTGATATCAGGCGAAGAAGCCGCCTTTTTGGGGGGGGGGACCCTGTAATCAGGACACCGAGAAAACTTCCTATGTGGAAGGGGCCTCCCCCAAAGACCCTCTGTGCGGAAAGGGCAGGAGTTAGATTTGTTTCACGCTGGAGGAACAGAAGGGAATAAACAGCCTGGCGTTTGGGAACAGTTGGAAACGAATTAACACTAAGCTAAAGAAGGAGGAATACGGGCGCCTTTTTGGAAAGGGTAAAGCGGCCACGGGGGGGGCTGTCTCTTTCCTTCGTTCGTAGCAGCGCTCCGGGGCTGGGATCTCAGTTTCCAAGATGCACGTGTTTGTTTCTTTAAAAAAAAAAACCCGAGTTCTTAAAAAAAAATAGATGGGGTGAAAAAAATCCCAAAAATTGTATTTTAGTCTTAAGAGAAATAACACGGGTGGGTTTTTTTAAACCCACCTGGGAACAATTTCATGAAAGAGTTCGGGAAGGGTTAGGTGGGAATGATCCTTAAAACCGGAAGCGAAATCGTTTGGGAAGGAGACTGGTGGAATTGTGGCACTGGAGGGTGGAGGAGTCGCTAAGAGCCTTCTTCAGAACACGGTTGGGATTTCTGGCCACGGGCTCTCCCAACCTTAAGGGAGAGGTAATAAGTCCTCGATGGGCTTGGCTATTCCCTTTACTGGTGTGGGAGGCCTGTCCTGCCCCCTCCAAGCCAGTGGGAGTTTTGTCATTGACTTCCACGACTTAAAACGCCACATGCCCCGTTTTCATGTGGTTGCGCATTTGTAGCCTGCTCTCCAAATTGTCCTGTTTTGTAGTTACCTTCTCACCGCTGGGTTAGGCATGTGCGAATCCGCACTATCCACTGACTCAACATTGGCTCATGAGGAAGTGGGGGGGTTAGGCGCAGCAAAACAACCCCCAAACTCTCCCATTGGCTTTCACCAAGTCTCCGTGCTGTTCTCTGCTTTAGAGATTTTTCTTTTTCTTTCTTTCTTTCTTTCTTTCTTTCTTTCTTTCTTTCTTTCTTTCCCTGCAACCCCGCGTTAGGTAAAATCTCCCCAAAGGGAGCAAGTGGCCCGCCTAAAACTGCAGGATCAGAACCGCTGCAGAGAGAATAAGGCACTTTGAAAAAAAAAATTAGCAAGGCTCATTCTGTTATTTATTCAACTTTTTTTTTTTTTGCTAATAATCGAGACACCAGTAGCCTCCGTTGATCAGTATTAAAGTGGTGTAACTTTGTTGGCAATATTTGCCATATAGTTTTTTTTTTAGTTATCCATTGTACATTTTTTTTAAATGTCTCTTCTGCGTGTAAAGACAACCCACCCTGTGTTTTATATAAATATATATATAATGAAGGGTTATTTCCTCCCCCTCCCCCTTTTTTGGCCTGCCTTTGTACAGTTCGGTGACACCTATTTTATTTTTCTTCTGCACTGTATTAAATTGTAATTGCGATTTTTTGCCCCCTTTGTGTACGTTTGAAAAAAAAAAAAAAAAAAAAAAGCCCGAACCAAAATAAAACATGTATGTTATTTGGACATGGTCTTCACAATTGTATAAACAGCAAATAAAATAGCATGCGGTGTAATACATGTTAAGAGTCTGCGACACCTCTTTGGGGGACACTGGGCCCCCTATCCAAAAAGCTATGGGAATCTTTGCATTGTCGTTAGGCTTTGAATAGCCCATAGAGTGCCCAACTGAGAGTTATTTTGGGGGGGCCAATGGGATGGTAGGGTGAGCAAGGAAAGCGTAATAGGACCCTTTATTACAACGCGATCTCCTCCCTCCTCCAAGGACCATAGCTCAGGATAATTTATTGGAATATCCACATTTTTTTTAACAATTTCACATTTCAGTGCAAACTTGAAAGGAGCTGCTATTGTTCTTGGCCTCTGCTTCTAATAAGTCCTTTATCCCCTAGTCTAAATTCAATCCCCTAGTTTTAAGGAAATATTTACAATCAAAATAGTAATAATTTTGAAAATTACCCGGGGGCGACTTTTTGCAAGAAGCAGCTGAAATATGATTTTTTGACAGGTTTCTTTTTTTTTTTTGTCCGAAGGAATTTCGCGCTAATGAAGAGAAATATAATTCAAGGCTTCCATTCGTTTTTATCCTCCTCCCCGCATTGTACAGTGGGATTTTTGGATCTGCTAGCTCTGCAGCCTGCTTTTTCCTATTATAAGGAACTCAAATGGTGTGTTTTAAAAACACAGGTTGGGAGATGACAGAGAAGAGAAATAGCCATGGACAGAGATGTCCTAAATCAAATGTTCTGGTTTTTTCTTTCTTAGGACCAGATCTACAGCCAACTGACTTAATGGGTTTGGGATGCAGCCCTTAGTGAACAAGCTGAAATTAACTAGCTTTACTTTTATAAAGCTCCTTTCCCTCTATGGTCTGATCTCTAGACCCACCGCAGTTTCAGGCGCTCCTGAGCGCCCCATCCCCCGAAACTGGTTCTTTTCAAACTTGACATTTTGGACGGGGGCGGGGAAAACTTATTTGGGGTTCGGTTACATTGAAATGATCGATACAATCGACTCAGGCAATCAGTGGCGCAAGCTGCTGTCTCTCAGGGCAAAACAAGGGACTCCTGTCTCGTTTTCGGTAATTCGGAGTGAATTCATTAAAGCGAAGTTGTTCTGAAAGGGCTGTTCTTTCAGAGCCCTCTTCCGTCACCTCAAGCTCCCGAAGAAAAAAAAGGGGGGGAGAGAGGGGGGGGGGGAGGCGAAAAAAAGAGAAACATCAGAGAAAACGCCATACTAACCCAAAATCTCAGCAGTCCTCTTCATCCTAACCCCTCCCCAAAGCAAACTCTAACCTCAAAACCGGCCACAGCAGATCAAGCACAGCGCAGAAGACTCGCAAGTTTATTGCCCAAAGGAATAAACACAACGCCAGTAAAAGGACAGATCCTCTGCTTTGCCCCCGGGCTCTCAAAAGTCTGCTCGGGGGCATGGCCTACCCCCTCCCGATTTATTTCCCTCGTTGCTTTGGGGTGCCGGGAACGTGACGGGGAGGGAAGCGGGGAGCAAGGCCGTTTGCATTGTCCTGTACTAGTGAAACTGGCAGGCATCCTTTTTATATAAACTGTCAATTACCAGGAATTTATGGGTGACTTTCTTTAAAGCCACGATGCTTTCTTGAATCGTCTACGCTCAAAGTAGCGAGAGCCCCTCACGTCTGGGCTACATGATTAACTCATCTGGCCAGCCGCGGAGAATTAGTTAGGCTGTTTTCTTGAGGAACTCAGACGGGGAACCTTGTGTGTATGTGTATGTGAATAGATAGAGAGAGGGGGTGTATGGGGATAGATAGATTGATAGATACATGGCTTGTATGCGGATAGATAGATACATAGATTATATGGGGCTCGATAGATAGAGGGGGTGTAAGGGGATAGATAGATTGATAGATACATGGCTTGTATGCGGATAGATAGATACATAGATTATATGGGGCTCGATAGATAGAGGGGGTGTAAGGGGATAGATAGATAGATAGATAGATCTGATTGTGGTGTTATCGATCCAATTGTACAGAAGTAAGCTGACCAAACTTGACTGCCTCACCGAATACACGCTTTGCTCTGAAGAGCCCGGAGGCTGGGCAGGATCAGTGGGAAGGTCCAAACCAGCCGCAACTTTCCCTGAATAAGCACTGGGCCCCGAGGCTGAGAAAGATGCTGACTGCAAGCGTGGTCCCACCCCCACCCCCCACCAGACAGGGACACCGAGGCAGGCCGCGCCTGTGACCTTAGGGGCGGTAGCTATTTTCCTGAAGGCCAACTCCCTCCCCCCCTCCTCCAGAAAGGACCAGGGATTGAGCCCCCCCCACTCCGAAAGAGATCGCTGCAGCGACAAAACAGCCTAACTTCGAGAACCCCCTCCCCAATCGGTCGCCATGTGGGTGGCTGTTCTAAGGGATCAGCAGCCTCCGCCAAGGCTTGTGATCGCCACTCAGCGCTCATCTACCGCACCAGAGCGCCGTGCAGGAGCACAGGGCTATGAGCTCTCCCTCCTCCGTGTGAAAGTGTTGCTCACCCACGCACAGCGGTGTGGCACAGCCAGAAATAACCCCACGAGCTGGGTCGCTGGAGCGAAGCACTTGAATGCAGAGGGCTACAGCGCACCCAGCTAGACAGACCCCCCGCCCCCAGCAGCCAGTCTTCCCTAGCTAGCTAAGTGGATAGCAGCAGATCGCTACCGACAGATCAACTTATGTGTAAATATAGGTACCTATAGGTAGCTGTCATTCAGTTCTCGCGCTCTCTCTCAGGCTATGTCTAGACTGCCAGCCTCTTTCGAAAGAGAGCGTCTAGACTGCACGTTGAACTTTCGAAAAAGCGGCTTGCTTTTTTGAAAGAAAGCATCCAGTGAGTCTGGATGCTCTCTTTCGAAGAAGCCCTATTTACATTGAAGAACGCCTTCTTTCGAAAGAGGAACTTTCGAAAGAAGGCGTTCTTCCTCGTAAATTGAGGTTTACCGCCATCGAAAGAAAAGCAGCGTTCTTTAGAATTAATTTCGAAAGAACGCGGCTTGAGTCTGGACGCAGGGGAAGTTTTTTTGGAAAAAGGCTACTTTTCCTGAAAAAACCCCTGAGTCTGGACACAGCCTCAGAGGCTATGTCTACACTACAGAGTTTTTTTCCGAGAAAGGGCTGTTTTTCAGAAAACGCTTCACTTACCTCCACACTGCAATCGCATTCTTTCAAAAAAATAAAATGGAAAGAACAGGGGTTTTTTTCCCCCTGACATTGGTAATCCTCATTCTACCAGGAAGAAGTCTTTTTGCGAAAGAGCACTTGTGGGAAAAGGCGTGTGTGGAAAGGGAAGAGGGAGTTCTTTCCAAAGAAGAGGAAAGAGGAAAAAACACAGGCTACTCCATCTATAGCAATCACAGCTAAAATGCCAGAGCCCGTTCATTCAGTGTGGACGCTATCTGTTGAACAAGCAGATTGCTTTTTCCATGCACTTTTGCAGTGTGGACACTCTCTTTTGGAATAATTTTTTTCAGTAGATCTCTCCGGGAAGAGCTTCTTCTGAAAGAAGCCTGCAGTCTAGACATAGTCTCTCTCTCTCTAGCTATAGAGTATATACATAGAGGATCTAGGTCATATATCACTTATGTAGAAACCAGAAGTATAGCCATGTGTTTGGCTACAGAACAATGTGTGTGTATAGAACAGGGTGTGTGTGTGTGTGTGTGTGTGTGTGTGTGTGTGTGTGTGATACGTGTTTGTGTGTGTGTATGTGTGTATTGGACACAGCTGCTCATGCATCCAGCCTGAACAAACTTTTTTTTTCCTTCCGGACCCAGTTGGAGAAAATACTTAATGCCTGTAACCCAGAGTAATGATCACTTTTGACCAGAGTTCAGGCTCCAGGATGGAGCTGTGGGGATGAGGGGTTTGGGGGGAGGGCGCATATTGTGAGTGAAGGCTTTGCCTAGAGTGTGCTTGGTGTGCAGGGTGGGGCAGAGGGGTTCAGTGTGTGGGCTGGAGCATGGCAGTGCGTAGAGGGGGTGCAGGGTCTATCTGGGAGTGCAGGCTTTGGGGATGCAGGAGGGGTTTCTGGGTTGGGGGGGCTCAGGCTGGGACAGGGGATCGTTGGGGCACCGGTTTACCTCCAGCAGCTCCAGGTCAGTATGCAGTGGGTTGGGAAGGCAGGCTTTCTGCCTGTTCTGGCACAGAGGACCACATTGCACCCTGGAACTGGGCAGCAACAGGACCAGCTCCACAGGCTGCCCTTGTCCCAAGCTCTGGCTTCACACTCCCATTGGCTGGTTCCTGGTTTGTTGCCAGGCAGGGCCAAGCACAAATGGACGGAGCTCGTTTTGGGCTTGGTTTGAAATGGGATGGGCTCCATTTTTTGGCTTACTTTGCTTTTTTATCTCAGTGACAGTTGATTACTTGCTTCCACCTAGGAGCAGGGGCCTATTGCTGACTCCTTCCAGGGCACAGCATGCTCCACAGTGCCAGGACAGGCAGAAAGCTGCCTTAGCACCCCCACGGGTCACCTGGTCACCCTACAGCAGGGGACCCAGGGCCTGTCTTTCTGCAACCCAGTCCTGCCATCCGTAGTTTGAAAATCACTGCCATGAAGGGCATAGTTATTACTAAGGCAAGCTTTTACTATCGCCAGGAGGAACTCACACAAGATAAAAGGCTGGCCCAGAGAATTCTAGGGCTGGAAAAGACCTCAGGAGGTCATCGAGTCCAACCCCTCGTCCAAAGTAGGATCAACTTCAACTAACTCATCCCAGCCAGGGCTTTGTCAAGCTGGGATTTAAAAACCTCTAGCAATGGAGATTCCACCACCTTCCTCGGTAACTCATTCCAGTGCTTCACCACCCTCCTAGGGAAATAGTTTTTCCTAATATCCAACTTAGACCTTCCCCATTGCTCCTCATTCTATCGTCTGTCACCACTGAGAACAGCTTCTCTTCATCCTATTTGGATCCTCCCCCCTTTCAGGTTTTGAAGGCTGCTATCAAATCCCTCCTCACTCTTCTTTTGTGGCACCCTCCAGGGTCTACGCAGACACACACACACACACACACATACACACACTCACTCGCACACACAA